GAGGAGGAGGAGGAGGAGGAGGAGGAGGAGGAGGAAGGGAGGGGGAGGGGGGAGGAGGAGGAGGAGGAGGAGGGGGAGGAGGAGGAGGCGCCCAGCTGCGCAGCCCCCGCGGGGCTCGGCGGGGGGGCTGCACCGCCCCCCTCGTGCCGGGGTGCTCCGTGCCCGCCGGCCGCCCTGGCGTCCGGTGCTGGCGTCCAGCTCGTCGGGCCGAGGGCGGAAGGTCGTGGGCGTCCCAGGGGAGGGGGGTGAGTAAAACGACGCGAAGATCGGGACAAAATCGGATCGGGATAATTCGAAATCTCTGAGAATCGGCGGGCTTGGAGGATGTATTGGGCGCCGCGGCCGCTCCAGAGCGTTCCGGAACGCTCTGAGAGCGCTCCGGAACGCTCTGGAGCGATTTATCCCGATCCTAGCCTTGTTTTACGCCGAGGGAGGAAGGTCGTGGGCGTCCCAGGGGGGGGGGGGTGAGGACTGAGGGGCGTGTGGGCATCATGGCTGGGGCCGTGGTCTTTCCCAGATTTCACGGCCCTCGCTTCTTCTTCTTCTTCTTCTTTTTTATTCTTCTTCTGTCAACGCGGAGAGGGAAAGACTGCAAACACATTACCTATACGACCACCCTTCGGGTGATAAGGAGGTTCGGGGGGGGAGGAACCAACGTCTCACTCGATCGGTCTCACTATCGATCTCACTATCGATCTCAGTATCGGTCTCGCTCGATCGATCTCCCTCGATCGATCTCACAATCGATCTCACAATCGATCTCACTCGATCTATCTCACACTCGATCTCACTCGATCATCATCATCATCATCATCATCATCATCATCATCATCATCATCATCATCAGCATCATCATCATCATCATCAGCATCAACATCAGCATCAGCATCATCAGCAGCATCATCATCATCAGCATCATCATCATCATCATCATCATCATCATCATCATCATCATCATCATCATCATCATCATCATCATCATCATCATCATCATCATCATCATCATCATCATCATCATCATCATCATCATCATTCATCATCTCCATCATCATCATCATCATCATCATCATCATCATCATCATCATCATCATCATCATCATCATCATCATCATCATCATCATCATCATCATCATCATCATCATCATCATCATCATCATCATCATCATCATCATCATCATCATCATCAGCGGGACACCGCGGGACACCGGCGGGACACCGCGGGGCACCGCGGGACACCGCGGGACACCGCGGGACACCGGCGGAACCACCGCGGGCCACCGGCCGCCCGGAAGGGAGACATTTGGTCCGGCCGCGCCTCAGCCACACGGGACACCAGCGGGACACCGGCGGGACACCGCGGGCCACCGGCCGCCCGGAAGGGAGACATTTGGTCCGGCCGCGCCTCAGCCACAGGAGACTTTCTTCTCGCCCGCCCACGCAGCTTCGCCTCGCCCGCACGCACGGCACGCACGAACACGAAACCGAAATCGATTTCCCGGTAGGGGGGCTCTCCGTTCCACTTCGATCTCACCCCCTCACCTCCGATCCCGGCGAAGGGGCCAACGAAATGAAGCTGCGAGTGCCCCGAGGCCACGCAACGTGTGGGGGGTTGTGCCGAGTCGAGTGCGGGTGCGCCATGCGGAGCCTCCCGCTGGGGCCTTGGATGGAGCTCGCTTCGGGTCCACAGAAAGTCTGAGGGATGTGCTGAATTGGGTGCGGGTACGCCATGCGGACCCCACCGCTGAGGCCTTCGGTGGAGCTCCTTCTTGGCCGCGACACGTATGAGGGGTGTGCCGAAATGTGGCGGGTACGCCATGCGTACCCTGCCGCTGGGGCCTTGGATGCAGCTCGCCTCTGGGCCACAATATATATATATATATATATATATATATATATATGTATGTATGTATGTATGTATGTATGTATGTATGTATGTATGTATGTATGTATGTATGTATGTATGTATGTATGTATGTATGTATGTATGTATGTATGTGTATATATTTATATATTCATATTCACATATATTTGTGTACGCGTGTGTGTGTGTGGGTGTGTGTCAGGGGGGGTGCTAACTCGGATGCGGGTACTCCATGCGGACCCTACCGCTATGGCCTTTGGGGGAGCTCCCTACGGGGCCACGAAATGCGTGTGAGGGGTGTGCCGATTCGGGTGTGGGCACGCCATGCGGACCCTGCCGTTGGGGCCTTCGGTGGAGCTCACTTCGGGGTCACGAAATGCGTGTGAGCGGCGTGCCGAATCGGGTGCGGGTACGCCATGCGGACCCTTCCGTTGGGGCCTTCGGTGGAGCTCTCTATGGGGTCACGAAGTGTGTGTGTGTGAGAGAGAGAGAGAGAGAGAGAGAGAGAGAGAGAGAGGTGTGTGCCGACTCGGGTGCGTGCACGCCATGCGGACACTGCCGCTGGGGCCTTGGATTGGGCTCCCTAATGGCCACGAAACGTGTGAGGTTTGTGCCAAAGCGGGTGCGGGCACGCCATGCGGACCTGCCGGTGGGGCCTTCGGTGAAGCTCACTTCGGGGCCACGAAATGCGTGTGAGGGGTGTGCCGAATCGAATGCGGGCGCGCCATGCGGAGCCTGCCGCTGGAGCCTTCAGTGGAGCTCCCTATGGGGACACAAAAAGTGTGAGGGGTGTGTTGAAATTGGGCGGGTACGCCATGCGGACCCTTCCGTTGGGGCCTTCGGTGGAGCTCTCTATGGGGCCACGAAGTGTGCGTGAGGGCGGTGTGCCAAATCGGGTGCGGGTGCGCATGATGGTGATGAGGACATATGCAGGACAGAGGCAGGGTTGAGAGGAGCGAGGAGGGGGAGCAGGAGAGAAGGAGGAGCGGGGGGCTGTCTCTACAAAGCGAGGACCCACCACCACAGGATGGTTGGGAATCAACTCGCGGAGGGCCGCGTGGATTTATCGGATCGGCACTGGACCCCCCTTCCCTGGCGCTCGGAGCTTGCCAGGGGCGGCGCCAGAGGCGCCGCCAGGGGGGTCCAGCGCCGATCCGAGAAGTCCGCGCGGAGCTCCAACAGTTCATGCTTATGCAGCTCTTTGTCACTGTAGGTCCGCAGAGGGGGAGAAGGAGGCAACGCGGTCGCGCTCGCGGACGCCGCTCGCCTGATGCTCTGGCATCTGGGCCCGGGGTTCCCGACCCGGGTTCTCGGCAGTGCGCAGCAGGCTCGGCCAGCAGCATCGTGCCTCGAGCGGGGGGGGGGGAGAGGGAAAAGGGGAAGAGGGAGGGGGTGCAAAAGAAGATGAGGGAGGGCGGAGGAGGGATACGGTCTCTGTGCAGGGTGGAGGCGCGGCTGATGCAACGTCCGTAGTGCTCGATAGAAAAACGATAAGTGTCGTGCTGTGCTGTGCTGTGCTGTGCTGTGTGGTGTGGCGTGTTGCCGTTTCGTATCGTTCCGCGCCGCGTTGTGCCGTGCGCTGCCGTACTGTGCGGTATTGGTTTGTGCCGTGTCGTGTGGTGCCATGCCGTGCCCTGCTGTGTGGTGTGGTGTCGTGCGGTGGAGTGCGGCGCGATATCGTGCGTTGCCGTGCCATTCGTTGCCGTGCCCCATGGTGCCACGTTTTGTTGTGCCATGTGGTGCCAAGCCACGCGGGCGTGGACCAGTACCGCATGGTGCTGCGGATGCATTGCAATGTTGTACCGTGGGCTGTATTAATCATGTGGTATTGTGGTGTTGCACCATGTGATGCTGTGAGGTGTGGTGCTAGTTATATCGTACGGTGCCGTGCGGTGCGGCGTCACCTTGTCGTGCGGTGCCATGTGGCGCCGATTGTGGCCATGTAGTGATTCCAAGTGCTGTGCTATACGGTACGGTGCACTGCCAGGCCATGCGGTGCTGTGATCGGAAGCCATACTGCAGTGTGCGAAATAATGAGGCCGGCGTAGTTGGCGTCACATGAGTCAGGGCCCTCCTTTCCGTTGAGCGCAGGCTTATGCAGTGTAGCTCAATGATATGCGAAGCAATGCGATACGGATCGTATGATGATCCATCACGGCCCCCTGGACGAAGCCCGGCTTGGGGAGATTGAGCCCGGCGTGACCCCTGTCAGGGGCATTCTGTCTCGTGGCAGCAGGCTTATGCAGTGCAGCACGAAGCTGCGATGTAGTGCAGTGAGATGCAGAGGAATAGGTCTAGTATACCAATACGTATCGTAGCGCAAACTGGCGCATCATCCTCTAGCATTGCGTTGCATCGAATCGCATGGCGTATTAGGTAGTATGCTACAGCGTAGCACGACATGGGCTGACGTTGCACGGCATTGCATACATTGTGTGTTATATAATGGCGCGCAGAGCAATGGCAGCCTTGCATGGCTGTGCTTAGCGGTGCATTGCGTAGCTAGTAGATCATATCACTGCATATCAGAACCGAACATGGTATTGCATAGCACTTAACGTGATGTCATGCAGCATATTGCACAGCAGTGCATCGCATATGATGTGTAGCAGACCATCTCAGTTCGTAGTGCTGCACAGCATTGTATTGCACCGCGTAGCAGACACCACAATATCTCCGCATATCATAGCATTGCATTGCAAGCGCAGTACGGTGTAGGTTTGCAGGGCAAGGTAGAGGCAAGAAGGGCAACACAAGACAAAGCAGCGCTGAGCGCCCTCGGGGACCCCCTGGGAACCAGTGGAACCGCCAAGGACCCCTCATGGACCCCAGAGGAACCATCGACTGTCCAGCGGGAGGGATCTGTCCCCACCGGCCCCGTTGCAGAGCATGAGTCGGAATCCTTTGGGCAGAGCCCAGCTCGGGTGGCATCCCGATTGTGATCAGGACTTCTTATAGATGTGAACCGATTTGAGGCGTTGCAGGAAGAGTGTCGCCTTCCAGGATCGAAGGACTTGGCATCTGTTCCTCGGCGCGGACGGCGGCGGGAGGCCGGCGGGGCTGGGCGGCGGAAGTACAAGACGAGGGCGGCTCCGCTGGCGGAGAAGCAGGCGGGAGGCCGGCGGCAGCGAGCGGAGATAAAACATGCGCCCGCAAGGGAGGACGCCATTTTTGGACTTATGGAACTCCAGATGTCGTCCTAAAAGGGAGGGGGTCTGGACCCTCCAAGACAAGCCATTTCAGACCCCCCCCCCGTGGGAGAACCCTCCATGACATCGTCCCCAGACCCCCCCAGGCCCTCCAAGGTAGCCTGGAAGAGACCCCCCCTCGAAATGAGGCCCCCCTCCCTTTGATTACGAAATCTGGAGTAGCCGGAACCGCAGCTGCATAGCGCTCGCGGATGCCCCAAGAAGTTACGAGGTCGTTGCTGAGATGTTGAGGCAGCGCGCGGGCGTCGGGCCAGGGCCAGGGGTGTCGAATCTGTGCTTCTCCGGGGTCTCTATATGTCCTGATACTTGCAAGAGCGTGTTCTACCGCTGCTGGCGGAAAACCGGGGGGGGTCACTGGGAGTTCCCAACCCGTCCCCCCCCCCTCGAAAACCGGGGGGGGGGGGGTCACTGCCGGTTCGAACCCCTCCCCCCCCCCCAGTCCATCATGAAAAGGGGGGGGGTCACTACCGGTTCGACCCCGCCCCCTCAAACCGGGGGGGGGTCACTACCGGTTCGAACCCCCCCCTCGAAAACCGGGAGGGGTCACCACCGGTTCGAACCCCCCCCCCCGCCGCCGCCGGCAAACGATTCCCGCTCTTCGGGACAGTTGGACAATGGTGGGGATGCTGGGACAGTGGTGGGAACGGTGGTGGTGGGGACAGTGGTGCGGGGACAGTGGGACAGTGGTGCGGACAGTGGTGGGGACGGTGGTGGTGGGGACAGTGGTGAGGGGACAGCAGGACAGTGGTGGGGACAGTGGGACAGTGGTGGGGACGGTAGTGGTGGGGACAGTGGTGAAGGCGGCGGTGGTGAGGACAGTGGTGGGACTGTAGTACAGTGGGGGAAGTGGTGGGGACAGTGGGGACAGTGGGACAGTGATGGGGACAGTGGGGACGGTGGGACAGAACAGTGGGACAGCGGCGGGGACAGTGGGACAGTGGTGGGTACAGTGAGGACAGTGGAACAGTGGTGGGGACCGTGGGGGAAGTGGGGAGAGTGGGACCGTGGTGGGACAATGGTGGGGAGAGTGGGGACAGTGAGACACTGGTGGGGGCACTGGTGGGGACAGCGGGGACAAAGGTGGGAACAGTGGGGACAGTGGGACAGTGGTGTGGACGGTGGTGGTGGAGACAGTGGTGTGGGGACAGTGAGGATGTGGTGGAAACTGTGGGACAGTGGAGGGTACAGTGGTGGTGGGGACAGTGGTGAGGGCGGTGGCGAGGACGGCGGTGGGATAGTTAATGGGACAGAGGTACAGTGGGGACAGTGGTTGGGACAGTGGGGACAGTGGTGGGAACAGTGGGGCAGCTCAGTGGGACAGCGGCGGGGACTGGGACAATGGGACAGTGGAGACAGTGGGACAGTGGTTGGGGCCGTGGAGACAGTGGGGAGAGTGGAACCGTGGTGGGACCAGTGATGGGGACAGTGGGAACAGGGCGACAGTGGTGGGGGCACTGGTGGGGACAGTGGGGATGGTGGTGGGAACAGTGGGGACAGTGGTGGTGAGGACAGTGGTGCTGGGGACAGCAGTGGGGGATGTGGTGCGGACGGTGGTAGGGACCCGGGAGTCGTTTGCTGGCGGTCAGCGTAGGGGGGGGGGAGGGGTTCGAACCGGTAGTGACCCCTCCGGTTTTCGAGGGGGGGGGTTCGAACCGGTAGTGACCCCCCCACGGTTTTCGAGGGGCGGGAGGGGTTTGAACCGGTGGTGACCCCCCCAGTTTTCGAGGGAGGGGGGGAGGGGGGAGGGGTTCGAACCGGTAGTGACCCCCCCCCGGTTTTCTGGAGGGGTGGGAGGGATTCGAACCGGTAGTGACCCCCCCCGGTTTTCTGGGGGGGATGGGGGGTGGAGGGGTTCGAACCGTCGGTAGTGACCCCTCCCGGTTTTCCGGAAGGGGGGGGGGTTCGAACCAGTAGTGACCCCCCCGGTTTTTCGGAGAGGGGGGGGAGGTTAGGGGAGGGGGGGTTTGGCCGGAGGGAAGGGGGGGGGGTCCGGCATGGGGGGGGATGGGATTTTCGGAGGGGGGGGGGGACCCCCGGGTTTTGGAGGAAGAGCGGGGGGATTTTTTCACAGTAAGCGGCGGTGGATCACACTCTTTTTGATACTTGCACTCCGCTTTGTACCCTCTGTTCTCTATGCTCTATTCTTTGCCCTCTTTCCGTTCGCTACTCTCCCTTCACTTCTACATGTGCTCTCCATCCTTCACCCCACGCCCTACGTTCTTTACCCTCTTCTATATACTCTTGCCTCTCCTCTCATTGTGTTACTCAGGCTGTCCTGTCCAGATGAATAAGCAAGCAGGTGGTGTTATGTGCCTTGGTTACCTCGCACTAGCTTTCCTAATCGTTGCTGCCGCCACTGCCGCCCGCGCCTCTTGTCTGCCAGTCTCGCTGTTGCTCCTCGCCTTGTCCACCCGTCGCCAGCGTAAGCCGTCGCCGTTGGCTTGTTTTGTCATGGTGATTCTGGATCTGTCCTCCTGTATTACTGTGCCTCCCCATGCTGTAGGGGGCTTAGCTGCAGCGCTACATCGACGCGTGACTTCTGCCATTGAGTTGGCAAGCGGAACTCCAGAAGCATGTGTACGTGTACATGTATGTATGTATATATGTATGTATGCATGTATGCATGTATGTATGTATGTATGTATGTATGCATGTATGTATGTACATATGTATGTATGTATGCTTGTATGTATGTATGTATGCATGTGTATATATATATATATATCTATGTATGTATGTTCATATGTATATATGCATGCATGTATGTAATTTTGTATGCATGTCTGTCTGTATGTATGTATGTGTATGTATATGTATATGTATGTATTTATGTATGTATGTATGCATGCATGCATGCATGCATGCATGTATGTATGTATGTATGTTTATATGTATGCATGCATGCATGCATGCATGCATGCATGCATGTATGTATGTATGTATGTATGTATGTATGTATGTATGTATGCATGTGTGTATGAATTAATGCATGCATGTCTGTATGTATGTATGTATGTATGCATGTATGTACGTACGTACGAACGTACGTATGCATGTAGGTATGTATGTAGGTATGTATGTATATGTATATATGTATATATGTATACATGTATATTTGTATACATGTATATATGTATATGTATGTATGTATGCATGCATGTATGTATGTATGTATGTAGGTATGTGTATGTACGTACGTACGTACGTACGTATGTATGCATGCATGCATGCATGTATGTATGTATGTGTGCATGCATGCATGTATGTGTGTGTATGTATGCTTGTATGTATGTATGTATGAATATAGGCATGTATGTATATCTACATGCATGCATGTGTATATGTGTATGCATGTATGCATGCATGTTCTTATGTATGGATGCATGTATCCATGCGTGCACGTATGTATGTATGCATGCATGCATATATGTATTGTTGTATGGTTGTATGATTGTTTGTATGTATGTATGCATGCATGCATGCATGCATGTGAGTATGTATGCATGTATATATATATATATATATGTGTGGGTATTGATGTTTGTATGCATGCATGCATGCATGCATGTAGGTAGGTAGGTAGGTAGGTAGGTAGGTAGGTAGGTAGGTAGATGTGTAGGTCTATAGATATGTAGGTATGTAGGTATGTAGGTATGTAGGCATGTAGGTATGTAGGTCTGTCTGTCTGTCTGTCTGTCTGTCTGTCTGTCTGTATGTATGTATGCATGCATGCATGTATGTATGTATGTATGTATGTATGTATGTATATATGTATGTATGTATGTTTGAAAGAGCGCGTTCTGTGGTCGTTTGGAGGGGGGGGGTGGAAACGGACCCCCCCCCCCTCCTCTCCTCTCTCCCTCTCCTCGGACCAGCACCTTCTTCGGCGCGGCTGGCGGCGGCGGCAGCGGGGCCGACGATTTCCTTTGCTGGGCCATCGCCGGCGCCTGCGGCGGCGGGCGGCGGCGGCGGGGAGCGTCGACGAGGACGACGGTGGTGGTGGTAGTGGTGGGTTGTGGTGGTGGTGGTGGCGGTGGTGGTGGTTGTGGTGGTGGTGATGTGGTGCTTTGTTGCGGTGGTGGTGGTTGTGGTGGTGGGTGGTGGTGGTGGTGGTCGTGGTGGTGTGGTGGTGGTGTGGTGGTGGTTTGTGGTTATGGTGGTGGTGGTGGGTTGTGGTGGCGGTGGTGGTTTGGTGGTGGTGTGGTGGTGGTTTGTGGTGGTGGTGGTGGGTTGTGGTGGTGGCGGTGGTTTGTGGAGGTGGTGCTGGTGGTGGTGGCGGTGGCGGTTGTTTGTGGTGGTGGTGGTGGTGGTTTGTGCTGCTGGTAGTGGTGGTGGTTGTGGCGGTTGTGGTAGTGGCGTGGTAGATTGTGGTTGTGGTGGTAGTGGTCGTGTTTTTTGGTGGTGGTGGTGGTGATGGTGAGTTGTTGTGGTGGTGGTTGTGGTGGTTGTGGTGGCTGTGGTGGCAGTGGTGGTGGTTGTGTGCTGGGTTGGTGGTGGTGGTGGTGGGTTGAGGCGGTGGTGGTGGTAGTGGTGGTGGTTACTGTCGCTGCGTCCCCGCCGTCGCCGGCGCCAGCGCCGGCGCTGCTGGCCGCTGCCAGTGCTGGCGCCCGCGCCGGCGCCAAGGGGGTGGGGGGGGTTTTGAACCCCCACCCCCTGTCGGCGCAGGGGGTGGGGGATTTGAGCCCCCCCCCCTCCCCCTCTTGGGCTGCATCTGGTCATCGTCGCTGCGTCCCCGCCGTCGGCGCTGCTGGCGGCCGCCGGCGCCGGCGCCGAGGGGGGGGGGGTCCAAAAACCCTTACCCCCCCCCTGGGGAGGGGGGGGGGGTTCGGGAGGGGGGGGGGTTTGGGAGGGAGGGGACTCCCCTCTGGTTTCGATCGACGGCACCGAGTGTTGGGGGGGGGCCACCCCCCGGCTCGAATTGCGCCGCCGAATGTTCCCAAGGCAAGCGCCCGTGAAATGCGATCTCTCGTATGTAGTTATGCATGCATGCATGTATGTATGTATGTATGTATGCATACAAATTTATATACGTAGTCATTTATAGAGATGAATATATATATATATATATATATATGTATATATATGTCAATGTGGCCATACATTTGCGATGTTGAGCGACGCATCGCGTATACGTGTGATACGAACAACCACACACAACACATTATATCCATGTTACCCGGCGTGTGCCCCGAACAGTGCCTGTGAATGTGGAAGCTATGCGGTGTAAGCTGTGTTGTGTGAGCTATGTCGATGGAAGCTATGCGGTGCAAGCTGTGGTGTAAGCTGTGTGGTGTAAGTCATGCAGTGCGGGCTGGAAATGGAAACTCTGGAGTGTGAGCTATGTGGTGCAAGCCTTGTTGTGCAAGCTATGCGGTATAAGCTACGTGGGACGGCCACGATGCGACACGGGCGGCGACGTGTCGCAACCCAACTTCGGCATACCCCGCAAGCGCGGGGCGCCCACGAGGCGCCAACGAGGCGGCACGGGCGGCAACGTGGCGCAACCTCGGCATACCCCCCAAGCGCGCGGCGCCCACGAGGCGCCCACGAGGCGGCACGGGCGGCAACGTGGCGCAACCTCGGCACACCCCCCAAGCGCGCGGCGCCCACGAGGCGCTCACGAGGCGGCGCTGGCGCGTAATGTGGCGAACACTTGTGATACTTAACAACTCACTTAATGACACCCAGTAAGGACCCCTAAGCGCACGCGTTGGTTTGGGAATACGAGTAGTAATGATGTCGTGTGTTTATGTACATCTGTGTACATACATCCGCACTGCATGTACAGCTTTACATACTTCTACATGTGTGTACATAACGTAGATGTGTGTATGTGACTACGTGTATATGTTACATACGTATACGTAAGTGTTCGCTCCTGCCGTCATACCTTTTCCTTGTCTACGATGCTTTCAGCTTCTTTCCTCTTCCGTCCTTTACCTCATCTGCCCCCCACTCTCCGTCCACATCGTTTTTGTCAGTCCCCTCCCGCTTGCCATTATACGTGTTTATTTCCCCAGCCATCCTGTGGTGTTGGGTCCTTGGTTTGAAGAGGCAACGCCCCGCGTTCCTCCTCCTCCTCCTCCTCCTCCTCTCCTCCTCTTCTCCTCTCTCTCTCCTCCTCTCTCTCCTCTCCTCTCCTCTCCTCTCCTCTCCTCTCCTCTCCTCTCCTCTCCTCTCCTCTCCTCTCCTCTCCTCTCCTCTCCTCTCCTCTCCTCTTCCTCCCCTCCTCCTCCCCCTCCTCCCTTCTCCGCAATTCTCGTGCGTCTCTCCCACCCAGTACAGTGTTTCGTGGCCCCAGAGGGAGCTCCACCGAAGGTCCCAGTGGCGCAGTCCGCATGCGGCCCCCTCATCCAGTACAGCGTTTCGTGGCCCCAGGGGGAGCTCCACCGAAGATCCCAGTGGCGCAGTCCGTACCGTATGCGTTCCCCCACCCAGTACAGCGTTTCGGGGCCCCAGAGGGAGCTCCACCGAAGGTCCCAGCGGCGCAGCCCGCATGCTCCACACCCAGTACAGAACATCGCGGCCCCAGAGGGAGCTCTACCGAAAGTCCCAGTGGCGCAGTCCGCAACCGTCCCCCCCGTCCAGTACAGCGTTTCGTGGCCCCAGAGGCCCAGTGGCGCAGTCCGCATACGTTCCCCCCGACCAGTACAGCGTTTCGGGGCCCCAGAGTGAGCTCTACCGAAGGTCCCAGCGGCGCAGTCCGCATGCTTCCCCCCAGTACAGCGTTTCGTGGCCCCAGAGGGAGCTCCCCCGAAGGTCCCAGAGGCGCAGTCCGCATTCGTTCCCCCACCCAGTACAGCGTTTCGTGGCCCCACAGGGAGTTCCCAGAGGGAGCTCCACCGAAGGTCCCAATGGCGCAGTCCGCAGGCGTCACCCCCACCCAGTACAGCGTTTCGTGGCCCCAGAGGGAGCTCCACCGAAGGTCCCAGTGGCGCAGTCCGCATGCGTCAACCAAAATTGTAGAATTTATGAAGGTTGGCTGCCGCGCGGACGCAAGAATTGCATACATTGCAAATGTTTATGGCCTCGGGGACGCGAATAAAGGGGACATTGCGAAATATCATCGGGGACGCAACACATTTGTAACTTACAGCAGATTTGTGGCCTCGGGGACGCGAATATAGTGTAATTTACGGGGGATTATGGCCTCGGGGGCGTGAATTTTACATATTTTTACGTGTCCCCCCTGAGAATTCAGAGCACCCGATCCGAGGGTGGTAAATTGCGGGTCTGGGGCTCCCCCCCCCCTCGCAAAGATCTTTCAACAATTTACAATAGGAAGCAGAAAGCAGGATTGTAACATTAGAGACTTGAAACTGCAAGTGGTGCAGGGAGCAGCAACTTCGGCCTACAGCCTGGTGGCCCCACAAGGGGGCCGGCGGATATACACATACATATACGTGTACTTGTGGGGGGGCGGGCGGGGGGGTGGATGGGGCACCACGGGGCTAGCCCAAAGCGACCCAAGAGAGTTTCAAGATGACCCAAGAAAACCTCGATATTTCCGAACACAGGCTCACGACGACCCAGAATGCTTCCAAGATGGCCCAAGGGCATCCCAAGAGGATTCCAAACATGGCTTCGAA